ATTTAAAAATTTCCATAGAAAGACCCTGGAGATTTACTAGCTAATTCTATTGGATTTCTATTGGAATTTCTACTAGTATTTACCTTATTGTACTAAAAAATTTAAATAGAACATGTTCAATTAAAAAAATAAATATGATTCGAATTTTCAATACCATTTATTGTATTGACATAATTCGAATTCTATTTTTGTATAGGTTTCTCTGACCTTCAATTCATTTAATATTTATAATAATAATTAATTCCTTATTTCCAATTGAATATTTTTCATCTATTTATGATTTAAGGCCCGGATGGACTGTCTGGAGAGGATAGTTTACTCCAAAATTGGGACTTCTAATTACTCCTACAATTAATCGTTTTTTCCGATAATTGTTAGCTAGCGACCTAGTTGTTAACAACCGCTAGAACGCTAACTAACAATTATTTAAAAAAACGATTAATTGCCAAAGTAATTAGGAATGCGAATTTCGGAGTAAATTATCTTCTCTAGATAATCCACCCGAGCCTTAAATGATTTCAAAATGAGCAAAATAGGATTTCATATAAATCGATTTAAGGCCAGGCTGGACTAGCTATCGAACGTCGACTTTTGTTTCAATTTTATCTTTTTAACCTAAAAGACATTAAAATTTGGGGTCAATTTTGTGTTGCGGGAAGCACTTGAATGGACATGAAAAAATAATGCAGAAAAAGAGGAAAAATTATTGAAGAGCCCTAAAGATCGATATTATTTAAAAGGGATTTACCAAGTTTGCTAGAAAATAATAAAAAATAGGTAGCTTACTATTGCATCTAACTGTCACTCAATCTTCTGGAGAGCAATGGTAAGCTGCGTAATTTTTATTACTTTTTGTAAACTTGGTAGATCACTTTTGAACAATATCGCTCTTTAACGCCCTTCAATAATTTTTCCTCTTTTTTTTCATTACTTTTTTATAACCATTCGAGTAGCTCCCAAAACACAAATTTGATCCCAACTTTTAATGCATTTTAGGTTAAAAAGATAAAGTTTAAACAAAAGATGACATTCGATAGATAGTCCACCCAGGCCTTAAGACTTCGATTTTTCTCTACAATTCAACGGACTAGATATTTTCTATGAAATTACATGGGTTCATTTTTTTCAGTTTGATATCCGTGAGAGATCAACGAAATAAGTTAAATCCACCAAAATATTTCTTATGGAATATTCTAAGGGTTCCAATAGAAATATCCAATGCAATTTTCTAGTATCTATTTTTTCTATGGAATTTTTTTAGTATTAGTGTCTTCACTAAAGTGAAAAAAAATTCACGCAATTCTCTCAGGCTTAACCAGAAAGAAAATAATAATTAAACAATCTCAATGCTCTTCTTCGATATGAGTGGCTCTGCCCTCTCGCCCTCTTCCTCACTCGTGACTGACTTGGGGGAGTTCTGGACGGGATTCTGAGCGTAGAGAATAACCGCATAACTGACCATTCCAATAGCCAGCCCAGTATTCAAATAAATGGGAATGCCAAAGAGCAACCAGCACAAGACAGCTGTAAATACGAGCTCCAAGGCACTGGCAAAAGTCTTGAGGATTGAGTTCAAGTTCTTCAGGAAGAAGCTCGTGATTATTCCTACTGCTGCGTTGTTGGCTATTATAACTAGGACTTTGGGGTCAAAGAGAATACTGGGGCCAACGTTCTCGAATGCCCCGAGGAGATCTCCTTGGAGAATTAACACGAGGATATTACAGATTATGCTATCGATGTACATGAAGACGTTCTGCACGTAGATGTTGATGTTGGCGCCTTGGCCTTTCAGAAGGTACTCGTTGTAGACACCAGCTAGGCAAGAGCAGATTGTCTAAAAGATAAATAAAGGATTTTATTCACAAAATCGCCGGAATTGAAATAAACAGTTGGTAGCTACTTTACGTGTAATTTAATCTAATCAGTTTAATGTTAATGAAAAAACATGAATACTAAACTTTTTTTTTACAATTCGGATTATTT